TCGCGATGCAGTGTTTTCTGGGATGATTGCACGATTACATTATTGTTGGGTCAACCTGTATTGTTAGACTTGTTAGATGCTGTTATGTGTTCAGAGGGACAATGGCCATCAGCTAAAAGTTAGTGGTTCAGCAGAAGAAATCTATTTTAGAGGTTGGGTTGGGGTTTTTATTTATTTTTTTTTTTTTTTTTTTTAACCTGCAGTGGCAAAAATGAATCATATCAGAATTTTGGTGTGTTTATTGAAGTGGAACCCTGCTCACAATTGCTGGTGGCATACAGAACTCCATGAATTTGTTCTTGTTTGTCTACAAATTATTGGGAGCCGTTTCAATTGCATTCGAATACTCCTTGCCAGCAATTGCTTTGTTCAAAGTAGGGCTTCAGTTCAATGTCCAATTAACTTTATTGCAGATAGCAGAGATAATTGCTTGCAAAAAATTGACTTGCCTGTGGTTGTCCCGAGCTAAAATATTAGCTTGACTGATTTAAAAAAAAAAAAAAAGATAGTGTTGCACTGCTGGTCTGCCTGTCCTCTCCTTACACATTTCTCACACGTCAAGGTGGGTTTTGACATATTTTTAGGTTAAAACCTTATATAGATCCTTTTGACTTAGATGTTGGGAATTAAACCGACAGGAAACAGATGACTGAATTCTAAATATCTGAAATTACTCAGAATTAAATTTAATTTTATTTTGTGGCCAGTTAATAAGCAAATATTTAATTTGATTTTGATAGGGCTTGGCCATGTGCAGTCCCTCTTTTAATGAAAATCTCCTTTCCAGCTCCTAATTGGTTAACAATCGAGTCCTGTTAAGGGTGAATCAAAGTAAATTTGGGAAAAAGATCTAGCGATTACTATAACATACAGTGATTGGTGTAAGTCTTTTTTGTGGTCATTAAAAAAATATATTCGTTCCTTGAACATTTTAGAAACTTTTATTAAATTTCTATATAGATGGTACATGGTCCCATCACGATTAGCTAAAATTTCACAGACGAACCCACCAAATTGTTGGCAGTGTTTTTCATTCAGATGGGTCTATGATACACATATATGGTGGACCTGCCCCAGGATCAAAACGCTATGGAGTATAACCTTTAATATTGTATATTTTTTTAGGCGACATACCTCTTGAACAAAAAGCAGAGTTTGCTTTACTGCACATAATAGGAAGAGATTTGAATGAAATATCTGATTTGGTGATTTCTCATTGCTTTATGGCTACTAAAATTCTTATTGCAAGATTGTGGTAAAATATTGAGATACCTTCTAAGGATCATCTAAAAGCACAAGTATTCCTACAATTAGAGAGGGGAAAAGGCCTGATATCCATGAATATAATCTCTAATTGTAGATTCCTGGAGCAATATACAATCTTGATTGAGAAGATCAAGGGGTGGTAAAATAGGTCCAATAGGTTTCTCGACAGCAATGGAGGGCTGTGGGTGAGCTGTAGGAGGAGGTCGTTAAGCCCTTTGAGACTTCTGTAGGAACCTTGAGCATTTAATATTTGCTGATTTTTCCTTGAGCTTTGTTTATTTTTTAAAAATCTTTTTACTTTTGCTTAAGGATGAGGTGCGAATGTGGAGAGCACTCTGACCACGTATTATATAATCAGGCTGAATAGACCAATATTGTATGTCCTGGTGAGAATGATGAGGTTCCAAGCTTTTGTATTAACAATTGACAATGTAACAGAGTAGATTTACTGTATTTGGGAATAGTGATGTCGCGAACATAACATTTTCGGTTCGCGAATGGTGAACGCGAACTCCGCAAATGTTCGCGAACCGCCATAGACTTCAATAGGCAGGCAAATTTTAAAACCCACAGGGACTCTTTCTGGCCACAATAGTGATGGAAAAGTTGTTTCAAGGGGACTAACACATGGACTGTGGCATGCCGGAGAGGGATCCATGGCAAAACTCCCATGGAAAATTACATAGTTGATGCAGAGTCTGGTTTTAATCCATAAAGGGCATAAATCACCTAACATTCCTAAATTGTTTGGAATAACGTGCTTTAAAACATCAGGTATGATGTTGTATCGATCAGGTAGTGTAAGGATTATGCCTGCTTCACAGTGACAGACCAAACTCCCCATTTGTACAAGGTTGGATACCAAGCTAGCCATGTCCCGTTCCTTGTCCTCACTGATGTCATTGAAGGTCTCTTCCTCCACCCAGCCACGCACAACACCAAGGGTCCCCAAAAGGTGACAACAAGCCCCATGGGACGCCTGCTGTGTTTGGTCTTCCACCTCCTCTTCTTCAGACTCCTCTCTCTGCGTTGCCTCTCTCTGCGTTATTATAAGGTGTGTTAAGTAGTACTATTCCTATCAGTTTAATCCCTGTTACGTCCCCGATTTTAGGAACCGGGAGATGGAAAAGGATGCTTGGTCGGTCCTCCTACTTCAAATTTGGGGCACTGCGCGTGCAATCTAATGTGCCACCAGATAGGAGTGGTGTGTTAAGTAGTACTATTCTTATCACTTTAATCCCAATGTCACGACTACTACTGTGGTCCAGCACGCAGAAACTATGTAAACATATACATAGGCAAGAAAAGGAAAATAAAAGGACAGAGCCTAAACCCGCCCTTAGAATGGCCGGACTAATACGCTAGAGACAGAGAATGGTCAAGGAAGCCAGAAAATACACAATACCGTTTACACAAGCCAAGTCAGGGAAACCAGAATTCAGAATAACCAGGTGAAAGCCAAGATCAGGATACCAGGAAATCAGATTCACAATGATAAAGCACTCTCAGGAAACCAGGAACAGGAAACTACGACAGGGCAAGGCACTGGGGTGACTTAAAAAGCTCCGCATGTCCTCCATCAACACGTTTGTAAAGCGTCCTGTCCTTGCCAGCGTGGACGTGGGGGGAGGAGGAGGATTACTTTCACCTCTTCCCCTGTTAGATTCCCGTTGTGCTGTGACATCACCCTTATATGCTGTGTAAAGCATACTTTTTAATTGATTTTGGAACTGCTGCATCCTTACCGACTTGCCGTAATTCGGTAACATTTCAGGCACTTTCTGCTTATACCGGGGGTCTAGTAGCGTGGACACCCAGTACAGGTCATTCTCCTTCAGCATTTTTATACAAGGGTCCTTCAACAGGCACGACAGCATGGAAGACTCCATTTGCCGAGCTACTCATGTCCTGTTCCTCGTCCTCCGTGATCTCACTGAAGGTATGTTCTTCCCCCCCAGCCACGTACAACACCACGGGTACCAAATAGGTGACAACGAGCACCCTGGGATGCCTGTTGTGGTTGGTCTTCCTCCTCCTCCTCCTCAAAGCCACATTCATCCTCTTCCAGCGTTGCCGCAGGTCCAGCAAGCGATGCTGATAAGGCTGTTTCTGGTGGTGATAGTGACCACAACTCTTCCTCTTCACGCTCATCTACGTCCTGATCCAGCAATCTTCGCAGGGCACGCTCCAGGAAGAAAACAAATGGTATGATGTCGCTGATGGTGCCTTCGGTGCGACTGACTAGGTTTGTCACCTCCTCAAAAGGTCGCATGAGCCTACAGGCATTGCGCATGAGCGTCCAGTAACGTGGCAAAAAAATTCCCAGCTCCCCAGAGGCTGTCCTAGCACCCCGGTCATACAAATATTCATTAATGGCTTTTTCTTGTTGGAGCAGGCGGTCGAACATTAGGAGTATTGAATTCCAACGTATCGGACTGTCGCAAATCAAGCGCCTCACTGGCATGTTTTTTCGCTGCTGGATATCTGAAAAGTGCGCCATGGCCGTGTAGGAATGCCTGAAATGGCCACACACCTTCCTGGCCTGCTTCAGGACGTCCTGTAAGCCTGGGTACTTATGCACAAAGTGTTGTACGATCAGATTACACACATGTGCCATGCACGGCCCATGTGTCAACTTGCCCAATTGCAATGCCGCCAACAAATTTCTTCCGTTGTCACAAACCACTTTGCCGATCTCCAGTTGGTGCGGAGTCAGCCACTGATCCACCTGTGCGTTCAGGGTGGACAGGAGTGCTGGTCCGGTGTGACTCTCTGCTTTCAGGCAAGTCAGCCCAAGACGGCGTGACACTGCCATATCTGGGATGTGGAATAGTACCTGGGGAGCTGGGGGGGTGCCGTTGATGTGGAGCAAGATGCAGCAGCAGAAGAAGACTCAGCCGAGGTGGTTTATGGAGTAGGAGGAGTAGAGGAGGTGGCAGAAGGCCTGCCTGCAAGTCGTGGCGGTATCACCAACTCCTCTGCAGAGCCACGCATTCCATGATTGGCAGCTGTCAGCAGGTTTACCCAATGCGCAGTGTAGGTGATATACCTGCACTGACCATGCTTTGCAGACCAGGTATCAGTGGTCAGATGGACCCTTGCCCCAACACTGTGTGCTAGACATGCCATTACTTCCTTTTGCACAATCGAGTACAGGTTGGGGATTGCCTTTTGTGTAAAGAAATTTCGTCCGGGTACCGTCCACTGCGGTGTCCCAATAGCTACAAATTTTTTGAACGCCTCAGACTCCACCAGCTTGTATGGTAAAAGCTGGCGGGCTAAGAGTTCAGTCAAGCCAGCTGTAAGACGCCGGGCAAGGGGTTGACTTTGTGACATTGGCTTCTTACTTTCAAACATGTCCTTGACAGACACCTGACTGTGGGCAGATGACCAGGAACTGCTCAAGGCAAGAGACGGAGGGGTGGATGGTTAAGAGGGGGAAAGGAGGACAGCAGTGGTTAATGTGGCTGAAGATGCTGGACCAGGAGGAGGATGGCGGCTTTGAGTTTGTGTGCTGCTTGTACTCATGTGTTGATCCCATAGGCGTTTGTGATGTGTGATCATGTGCCTTTGCAAACCAGTTGTACCTAGGTGGGTGTTGGACTTCCCACGACTCAGTTTCTTTTGGCACAGGTTGCAAATGGCATCGCTGTTGTCAGAGGCAGACACACAAAAAAAATGCCACACTGCCGAGCTCTGCAATGACGGCATTCTGGTGGTGGCAACAGCATGCGTTGATTAGCGTGCTGATGCATGCTGTCTGACTGTGCCACTAGCGCCTTGCGACGACCTCCCCCTGCTTCCAACTCGTCTCCTCCTCCTCCCTGTCTCCCCATCTGAACTTTCCCCCTGTTCTTCTTTTCTTCTAGCGGGCACCCACGTGACATCCATGGACGCATCGTCATCATCAACCGCTTCACTTGTATCTGACAACTCAGCAAAGGAAGCAGCAGCGGGTACAACAACAACATCACACCGTACGTCCGTGTGTGTAATGCTGCCTGACTGAGACACATCCCTGTTATCTACATCCTCTGGCAATAATGGTTGCGCATCACTCATTTCTTCCAACTGATGTGTAAATAACTCCTCTGACATACCAAGTGAAGCTGCTGTGGTGCTAGTGTTGGTGGGGGCGGCAGGCGGGCGAGTGGTAACTTGAGAGGTGCCCGAAGCTAAGCTGGAGGAGGATGGTTCGTCAAGGTTTCGAGCGGAAGCTGTAGAAGATTGGGTGTCCTGTGTTAGCCAGTCAGAACTTTTCGAGTTCAGGGTACGTGGCCTCTGAACACTGGACATTATTCTAGGGCCAAAGGGAATTACAGCACCACGACTACGACGGGGTGGCCTGGCTCTGCCTGTCATTTTTTTTTTTCGATTAGTGGTACTATGCGTGCAAGCTACTGTGACAACAGATATGAGTGGCACTGTGCAGTGGCAGAAGTTGGCAGAGTAGACGCTGTAGGCCTGACACACACGCTTGCAGACAACTAACTGCTCTTCAGTCTATTACATTCGAAATTGTATTTATTTATTTTTTAAATGTACACTACTGTTACACCAGATATGAGTTGCACTGGTGTGACACTGTGCACTTTCAGGCCCTGAAATGCACACACGTGAAGGAAACTGACTGCTATTATATTACAGTCCAAAAAGTTTTGGTTTTTTTTAAATGCAAGCTATTGGGACACCATTGAGTGAGTGGTGGCACTGGGCAAGTGGGCACAGTATATGCTGTGAGCCTGACACACAGGCTGGCAGGTGGGCAACTGCAATTACATTACACAGAAAAAAAAAAGCAGACTGATGTTCTAGCCCTAAAAAGGTCTTTTTGGGGTGCTGTCCTTACAGCAGAGATCAGATGAGTCCTTCAGGACTGTAGTGGACACTGAATACACTAGCCTAGCTATCAATTTCCCTATCAAATCAGCAGCAGCTACACTGTCCCTCCTCTCACTAAGAATGCAGCTTCACAATGAATGTAAAATGGATGCTGTCCAGGAGATGGGAGGGTCTGGGAGGGAGGGTCTGCTGCTGATTGGCTGGAATGTGTCTGCTGACTCAATGATGATGATGAATAGGGGGCGGACCGAACAGTGCATATGTTCGCCGTCCGTGGCAAACGCGAACAAGTGATGTTCGCCGGGAACTATTCGCTGGCGAACAGTTCGGGACATCACTATTTGGGAACAATGCAAGATGTTTATCTTTTATATGTATGAAGTTTGTTATCTCTGTATGGATGGTGTTTGATTTGGGAGAGATGTTTTGATCTACTCACATATCTTAATTTTGTTTGTTTAATTATGTATGTGTGTTATATGAAATTCAATAAAAAGTAAAGAATAATTTTAAAAAAAATACACTTGGCAGCAGTATTTGTGTGAACATAAAGGGTAAATTCATAATGACTCTTAAAGGAACACTATATAGCAGTGCTTGACAAATTTGATTGAAATCTAGGAGCCAGATTTTTCAAAGTCAAAAATACAGTTCTTAATAAATCTGCATTGTGCACTTTATTTGGCTGCTAATACACTTGATTGCACTTGTTTTTCTTTTTCATTAACGGAGACCAATGAAGCTCAAGACCTGGGAAAGCCTTTCAATTTTATTTTGAAGGCTCTTTATTTGATTCCAAATTGTCAGTTGCTAATTGGCGTATATAATTGTAATTCTGTTGTACAGTTTACACAATGCTGTGCCATTTCTTCCCTGGCATGATAACCCCTACTTTATTATATAGAAATTTGACATACAACCTTGACATCGGTGAGGGATGAAAACTCAGAGGGAATTGCTGGCAAGTTTAGGGGGAAAAAAGTTAGTCCGCAAACTGTGATTTTGCTTTTTTTAGTCCCTGGATAAAAAATGGGTTTACTGGTCCAAGACATATTCAGTAATGCCACAAGTAAATCACTGTAAAAAAAGAACGTCACTGCCGCTGTTTTTCAAATATAGTTTTACAGTATGTCAGTAGTTCAATTTTAAGTGAAACATTTGTTAGATTCCTTACCCACGGAACTTTGACAAGCGTGTTCTCTGTTGGCTAATCAGATCTTTTATCTGCTTTTTCATTGGGACATTTTACATAGTTACAAGGTGACTGGCTTCCAGCACTCTTTGATTTTTAATATCCCGCCCACTAATACAAAAGGAAGTCTGACCTTCAAGAGGAGCCCCTATTGTAAGGCAGTTCCTGGCTAATTAAGGTGCTGCAAGCGGTAATTGATTGTGACTGTCTGTTGCTCTTACAGAGTTGGATTTCAACCTGTTGGCTTTGAAGCAAAATGGTACAGATAAAGGGAATCCAATGCATACATCTCTTGCTGCAGATTATTATTGGTGCTTTTTAAAATACAATTTGTTTTTGTTTCCCTTATAAGAAAAACACAGAATTTTAGTGAATTAAATGTTACAGAATTTAGGCTCATAGATATAGATGTGATGGGACTTTCGCAGATTTACCATTCAAACTCCATTTATTAATATTCATTCTTTGAATAACCAGGAAATGTTGTGACATTCATTTTAACTGTATATATGGCATTTTTGCTTATATTCACAAACTGGCATACAGTGTTTTGAGAACTGAATGCCTGAGTGTACATGCAGCAACTTGAGGCATTGTGGGAAAATATTGAAACAAGTACCTGGAACTGATTTGAAGCCAAGTGTGTGTGTGTGGTGTGTTTTATTTTTTGTTTACTTCTGACGCGCATGTCACCTCAATGAATGTTTCAGTAGCACACTAACACACTGAAAGCGGCACTGTCATGCCAAACTTACCTTTCCTCAATCTCTTCCTCTTCTCCCCCTCTCTCGGGATCTGTTCTTCTTTTCTTCCTGTCTTCTTTAGTTTTCTTTAAAATCATAAGACAAAGTAGGGACTCTTTGCCTTATGGAGGATTCCTCCGCTTGACCAGCTCTGACCAGCGGAGGAGCAAAGTGTGCTTCATTTCCGCTGGTCAAAGCAATTTTCCCATGATCCTTACCTTTCCTCAGTGTTCCCACGATGCTTCCTGTAATTTTACACAAAACTGCCAAATTGCGTTGTAACTGAATGAGAACAGTATGTTCGTTTCTTTTAGAACGCAATTTGGCACTTTATTCGGATCGGAATTTCATAAAGACAATGAGGGGGAAACCTACCGTCCAGCCCACACCCTGGCGGGGACCTACTGTCCTCCCCCTCCCCTCCCCTGCGGGTGGGGGCCTAAGTAAATTCCCCCCCCCCCCACCCAAATAGAAAGTCCCTACCTACCCCCATCACCCTAAAAAATAGTGAGGGGGGGGGGGAATAAAATAACTAACCTGTAAAATAAAATTAAACTTACCATTCGATGTCTTCTTTTTTCTCAAATCTTCATTTTTCAGCCCCAGAAAAGGCCAAATAAAAAACCATCATAACTGTCGAACTAAAAAAACAAACCCGGGGGCAAAAAAAAAATCCATCTTCACCCATGGAGGGCTCCGCGCAGACTGAGCTCCGCAGGGCGGGGGAAGGCTTATAAAGCCTTGCCCCGCCCTGCAATTAAGCTAAGAACACTCTGATTGGTGGGTTTAAGCCAATCCGAGTGCTCCTTGGAATTTTCCCAGGCTATGTAAAATTCCAAAGAACTTTCCCACGCTGTGTAAAATGACACAGTGCACTGTGATTGGATGGATTTCAAGCCATCCAATCAGTGCTCTGTGTCATTTTACACAGTGGGAAAATTCTTTTGAATGACAAAGAGCACTCTGGCTTAAACCAGTAAAAAATGGTGAGAGCACAGAGAAACAATAATTACCCTTATATTCAATATAAAACCTGTAAAAACACAATGGGAAAAACAGGCATAGGGTAATAACGTACAAATAATATATGAATGAGTTTTAACCATTTATTTATGTGAGGTGGAGTGACCCACATTGCTGGTGATTGTAGCACTTTGTCTTATATTGTTTTCACCATATATACACTTATTTTACTCTGGCTTAAACCCACCAATCAGAGTGTTCTTAGCCTAATTGCAGGGCGGGGCAAGGCTTTATAAGCCTTCCCCCGCCCTGCGGAGCTCAGTCTGCGCGGAGCCCTCCATGGGTGAAGATGGATTATTTTTTTTGCGCTCTGGTTTTTTCTTTTTCGTCAGGTTATAGCGGTATAGCGAGTAGGGGCATTGGGGAGATTTTAATCTCCCTTGTGCTATTATGGGGTTTATATTGACCCCCATAGAGTGAGGGGGGACCTTGGGGGCTTATTAAGTGGTGGGGAGCACTGCTCCCTGCCGCTTCTATAGTTACATACAAGGAGGGTGCTGCGTGCTAGTAGCTCCCTCCTTGTAATAAACTGAACGAACACTGATACATAGATACACTGATACACAGTGTTTGTTTGTTCGTCTGATATTTCTATTCACTCATTCGTCTGTCGGATGGATGAATGAATAGCTGAAATTCCTGTTCGCATGTCCAGGTGTTTCACTGGGCATGTGCGGGAATCTCACAGGCTATCTAGTGTGGGCAGATGACGTGTCCCATAGGGACTTCCTCTACCCACACAAAGATGGCGGCGCCCTGAATAAAGATCGGGGCAGAAAATAAGGAAGAAAAAATAGGTAATGTGGGGGGCTTAGGGGCATTTGGGGGTGACTAGGGTGTCCGAGATAGTGGAGGCCGGAGGGGGCTTAAAAAAAAAACCAAGATTCGGCATGACAGTGCCACTTTAATGTTCACTTCAAATCTGACTATTCCTTTATCTTTAGTTTAGAGGAGTGTTATCAGCAGCTGAGTTACTCTTGTATGATTATTGCATGAAAAAACACATAGCTTACATTGGATTCCAGCTTCCTGTGATATTTTACAATTGAGCTGCAGGGGGTAGTAATGAAAATTGTAGAGAGAAGCTTCTTATACTCGCTCCTGTTATTTTAGTGGATATTTGATATCACACCTACATTAAAAAAATGTTCAGTCAGACTGACCGTTTCAAAGATTAAGCATTCCTCTGTAAAAAAAAAAAAAAAAAAAAGGTTGGTTGCAATCTAAAAGATGCCAGCTGTTTTTTTTCTTAATGTGATGGTCCTAAAAAAGTTCTGATCATGAACAATCCCCATATTGGCAGTAAGCTGTAGTGTATAGCCATGCATCCCTATAAACACACTTTACTATAAATTACGTTTTTTTTCATTAAGCTGTTTACATTACTATACTATTGTAGCTGTATGTGCAGTGTTTCTCTAGAACTCCCATTCTGCTGCACAACATTTTATATGAAGTGAAGTCATGTCACCCTGAGTGACTTGGTATGAGTCTCCTAAGCAGAGACTGCTCACCTAACTTGTAAGTGTCCTGGCAACCACCCAGTCAGCTTTGGCATCATGTCTTCTGACTGTCAAATTTATCTGCCTCTGGGTAATGACTTCACACATTCAGCATGTCACAACATACTTAAAGATTGGGGAACAAAGCACAGACTATGTAGTAGTAAACTAATATAAATAATTAGGCCAAATCCGTGTTCAGCCACTCATGTAGATATAATGTATGTTGCCATGCTTCCTTCTCTCTCTTTTTTTAATTTTTTTATTTATTTATTTATTTTGTTAGCTTATTGGCATCTTTGTAAGCCCCCATTTTTAAAAGATAGATATAGGTATATATATATAATCTTTCACGTAAAGAGTTAGAAACTGATAATGGATTGTTGCATACCAGTCAAAAATACTCTACACAATTACTTTTTAAAGGGGCAGTTTAGACATTATAAATGCTATATGCTGTTGCAGTGGTTTTGGTGATTGTAGACCATTATTGTGTCCCCTGGTTCTGCCCCTTTAAAATCAGCATCATGTTTTATTATCTTCAGAGGTAATTTTCTTTGCTATAGACTGTAATTTAATTTGTGTTGCATGATGTTTTAAGAGCTATGGATGAGTGTTTGTTTCTACTGGCAGCGAAAGGGTACCAGAGAGACCTGAATATTGTTGCCATTGCTGCTTCCATCAGGTCATTTCTATCCTTGTCATTTGTATTTGAGATTTTTTTTTTATTTATTTTTTTTAAAGGCAGTTTGAATTGTAAATGATGAGGTCACAGGACGTCTTTCCTAATGTGTTTCAGATGAGCTTTGAAGGTTAGAAGCTAGTATTGTGACTTTGCTCCCTTTCTAAAGGGATTTAAAAACACGGTGTATTGCAGGCTGTGAGAAATTGCAGGTCTTATTTCATAGGGATAACATTCCAGAGCCTTCCCTTCAATTATGTAATGTAGATTACCATTTTAGTTCTGCTGCTATCACACCAAGGATATTGCTTGCTTACACGCTAGGTATGTAACAGATTGTGTCAAGGTCTCTCTCTGGTTTTGTGTGTCTGTGTATAGCAGACCTTGGTATTACCAATCTATCTTCTACTGTGTGCTTATAAATCATGCATCTGTGTACAAAGTGCAAACCATGCCTTTCCTGTGGTATGCTACGAAGAACCACAAAATACAGATTTTAAACTGTTAACTTGACCGTTGTTAAGCTCTGCCTTTGTTTTAATTCTAGTTTATTTGCATGTGCAACTAAAGATCTTTATAGTTATTGCTTTTGAGGTAGGTTTACAAGGGTCAGGGTTGTATATTAAAAAAAAAGAAATGCTCTACATGTGGCAGTTGCTCTCTGGTCCTAGAGGTCTGCCTGCTGTTGGTAAATTAGACTTTTTGGTGGGGGGAAGGGTAGTGCGGGGGGTGGGGGTTACAAGTTATTTTGTCATATGAAATATTTATAGGGTAATTCACCAAAGTGCAAATTTTAAGGAATTTAAAGTGAATTTGCATGTTAAGGCCAAAATTATTAGATGGTGCAAATGTACAGGATATGTGCTGAATTGAATGTAGCATTGCAGTCTTTTTAGTTAAATAGAAAAAAAAAAAGGATGGGGGAAATTAATCACCTTTCAGTTTTCTCCAAGGTGCTTCACTCTAGATGTTTGCAAACTACGTTGGCATTGATCATTCTTTTTAGGCTACCTGAACATCATGGACAATCTAGTTACCATTTCTATGAACATGTTGTTTTCCTTTGTTTGACCCTTTCAGGCTAGTGTTTAAAATCTATTTATGGCTATGTCCTTTATTATGACACAATGTCCCTTGTCTGTAACAAATATTTTCCAGACTTCTTTTCCACATTAATTTGCTTTGCCCAGCTGTCTCTTATTAAATGTCATGCCAGGCGGAACAACTATCACATTATTGTAATGGTAAAATTTCCTGTAGCCTGGTTAACTCTTTAAGGACACACAAAAAAGTTCAGCTACAAAACCAAAAATTTAAGGTTCAACCATAATTTACTTCTTTCATATTAAGTGCACCCAGGGCTTTAATTTCACATAACATAATGTGTATAAAAACCTAAGTTTGAGATATTAAGAAAGGGTTTCAGCGTTCTGCATGGCATGTTAACTGTGTATCTCATCAAATGGTTGACTCTTAACGCAATCAAATACACATTTGTATGCTGTGATGTCCCCTGAGTACAACAACCCCATCCCCATGTACATGTTTTATGAGGTTTTGGAAAGTTACAGGGTCAGATATAAGGCTTGCCCATTTCTGTGTTTACACATTGCAAATATGTTTCCTTTGAGACCGTTAAAGCAGCCCAGGAATGAAATTGACCCACTCTCGTGGCATACCATTTGCATGGTATCAACAATGAGGGTATGTCCAGTCTGTTTTAGTAGCCACTTAGTCACAAACTGTGGGCAAAGTTACTGTACATATTTTTTTTTTTTTTTGCCTTTTTCACACAAACTGCACTTTCACTGATCACCATAACAGCGTTGAGAGATTATGGATTTCCACTTAAAGGACCACTATAGGCACCCAGACCACTTCAGCTTAATGAAGTGGTCTGGGTGCCAGATCCATCTAGGTTTAACCCTGCCTGCTTTAAACATAGCACTACAGTGGTCCTTTAATGGACGACAGGGTTTGTCAGTTACATATCAATATATTTTCTGTAAACTTAAAAGGTTATTCCAATCATCATAACCATTACACCAGTTTAGTAACTTGTTGTAACATTACTGGGGAACCAGGCCAGGTTTCCCCACTGGATTCTGGTGGTCTAGTGACATGCTTCTAACTTATGCAGAGCCACAGAAGCCATTTATTGTCTGCGAGCATAAGCTGACTGCTCTTGTCCAATGAATGCAGTTCCGTGCAGGGAAAGTTGCACATGTCTGATATTGGTCAACCCAGAACGCTAGTTTCGGCCTGGCTGCGGACTTCCCAGTGATGCTGCCAGTGGTTCCTTCGGCAGCAGAAGGCTTATATTCCATATGTGAATTGTTATAATTGTGAATTTATGGTATATATTTCACGTAGCACTGTTTAACTACTAATGATGGAACTTGTGGTTAAAAACATTTGTTTTGTGAAATTTGCTTGGTATCTAGGAGCAAGCTAAAAGTTAGGAGTTAGGTTTTATTTAATTTTTAAAAAATTTATTTATTTATTTTTAAACCAACAAAGCCTTATATTTAGCGACAAAAATAAAATTCTTAAAGACTCTAGTCACCAGAGCCACTCGAGTTTTAATGTAGTGGTTCTGGTGTTTATAGCGGTTTCTTTTTAGTCCAGCTGTGTGCAGCACATATGTTCAGTGTCTCCACGCTCTGCATGGAGGCGCTGAATGTGTACAAAGTGCAAACCATGCTAAGGGGAAAGCATTAGCTTGGCTGAGACCAGCAAGATTGATCTCTGCCATGGAGGTGGGGCCAGCCAGGGCAAGACCGGCACTTGCAAAAAATAGCGTAAAATCCTTTCCCATGCGATCAGAACACACTCACCACAAATTATTTTCTTTTATTTAAGCCCAGCCTGCCTACCTTTGAGAGAACTGGAGTGAATCCCTTCCCTAGGTTGCAGTGTGGCTGCTGAAAATTTCAAGCTCTTCTGGTTGTGCTCCATTGAGCGCTGTTTAGTGGTAGTGGGGCCGGTTTGACATCATATCCCGGCATCACTGCAGGATGCATGAGAGCGCAGAGCAAGAAGAACTTGAAGATTACAACTCCCTCGCCACCCGCCTTCGCTCTCTCTCAACCGACCGGCTCCGTTCTCCCTCACCACTGAACGTGTTGACAAACACCCAGGCGCCAGGACAAAATTCCTAATCTCCATGGCAATCTAGCATCTCGGACTTGTCGAACCCTGTCTTAACCTACTAGTCTTCATTCGATTATTTCCTGAACTGTACACCTATTGTTTACTCTGTAAAACTCCAATAGAAACCATATATTGTAAAGTCCGTATGCGCAGTGTTTCATAGCGGACCTCTACATATATAGACTCCAGACACAATGATCACTTCAAAACGCTGAAGTGGTCTTGGTGTTTGGAATAAGCCTTTAAGCACAAAATGAATATATGTACAAGTGAGGTGTGTTTTCTTTGTGTTTATACAACCACTTTAATATGGGATAATAAAATATGCATGCATTTTGCAGGGCAGGTGTGATTTCCATTCTTTAACCCTTTAAGGACACATGACGTGTGACATGTCATGATTCCCTTTTATTACAGAAGTTTAGTCCTTAAGGAGTTAAAGGAACACAAACGTATTTTAGTGGGGGCAATAGACAGCCAATAGGAGAGCCACGTTTACAACAAATCTCTGTTTAGCGAAACTCCTACTGAAAAACATACAATTTAGGCATATAATAAGACAACTGTAATTGGTAAATGCAATTAAGAAGGAAATCGGTGGAATGAATTACATTTTTAATATTGAGACTAGCTGAAGAATTCATTAATAAACTTCTTACTGTATTTGTCTTTTTGTCTTTTCCATCTCCCCACCCTGTGTATGTCTTTTCCATCTTTCTTCATGTACTGCAACCCTACCTGCAGATTCACAGCTTCTGTTTCTCTCAGATTCTCCTCTCGACACCTGCATTTTGTTTTTCCTTATTTTACACCCCCTCTACAGACATCCTTTTTTCCTTTGTATCCAACTGCTAGAAATGTCATTTTTTATAGCCATTCCCAATAGGCTGTAGGAAACGTGATGGTTTGAGCAGAATGTCTTGCATGTAAACCTGAAATGTCGTAATCCAATAATCATGAGTAGCTATTTATGCATTTTGTCTTGTACATATTGTTGCATTGTAATATAACTTGCATTATCTTGTGTTTTTGTATTTGTTTTATAGTGCAAGGAGGAGTGGGATCCCCATGCGGTGTTAGTGCCGGTTTGCCATGCTGGCCTGTCTACCAGGACCAGGTGACCTCTCCTTCCAGCTTCTCTCTCACCCGCAGATGAACACTGGACTTCAGAAATGTAAGTTTGAAATGACTTTTCCTAGGGAATGAATGTGGTTTCATTGTAACTGTTCATCACTGGCATGTCTTGATTTATAAAATACACATCTCCCTCAAAATGGTAAATGGTAATCTCCAGGGCTGGTTATAATTATAAAAATAAAATCCTTCCCCAACAATTGCAGCCCCCTACACCCTTCACTGCACTGCCTCCCACCAATGACTTATTTGTGCATTATCTCCTTCCCTCCCTTATACCCAGTTCTGTAGCTCACTGTATTTGTACACACCCCTTCATTGTAAATAACAGTGAACTGTTTTGTATCGGGTTTTATACGATTTTGTGCTGGGATAGAAATCGCCCTGCACAGATGTGATAAAACTAGTACTTGTTTGTTCCTTAGCTCACTGTGTTATAATGAAAGGGTGGGTATAAATTTCTCGCTGTACAAATTACAGTGGGCTACAGAACTGCTATATATTTATTAAAGGAACACTATAGTCACCTAAACAACTTTAGCTTAATGAAGCCGTTTTAGTGTGTAGATCATGCTTCTCAAGTTCTACTGCTCAATTCACTGCCATTTAGGAGTTAAATCATCTTTTCTGTTTATGCAGCTCTTGTCACACCTCCCCTGGCTCTGATTGACACAGCCTGCATGAAAACAAAACTGGTTTCACTTTCAATCAGATGTAATTTACCTTAACCAATTGTATCTTTCTCTGTAAATTGAACTATAATCACATACAAGAGGCTCTTGCATGGTCTAGCAAGCTATTAACCTAGCAGAGGATAAGAAAATCTAAATTAAACAGAACTTGCAATAAAGGAAGGGTAAACTGTAGATGACTCTTTACAGGAAGTGTTTAGGAAGGCTGTGCAAGTCACATGCAGGGAGGTGTGACTAGGGTTCATAAACAAAGTGATTTAACTCCTAAATGGCAGGGAATTGAGCAGTGAGACTGCAGGGGCATGATCTATACACCAAAACTGCTTCATTAAGCTAACATTGTTTTGGTGACTAGTGTCCTTTTAAACCTGTACAGGGAGGGAAGGAGACTCTGCACAAAGACTTAATTGGTGGGAGGCAGTACAGTGAAAGGAATATGTGTAGGTGCAATTGTTAGGGAATGCAAAGAAGTTGGCCACTGCCTGTGAGGTTTCCAGTTTTGTAAATCGCTTACATAGGGTTAGGTATTATCTCAACACAATGTTTTTTGATGCTGAGACACAATATAAAATGTGCTAAATGCTTTTGTAACAGACACTGTTGAGAAGTGCTGTAATCAGTTGGTCTTAAAATTTTGATTTTAAAAAAAAATTGCGTTCTGGTTTGGAAGATACAGACTAAGGTTTACTCAAGAGGAGGGAGTGATGTAAGCTTTGAAAAATTATCATGGGGACATGCAGTAACAAAGACATGAAGTTCCAATGTTTGCACTCCCCTTTGTACAATAATACAATCCTTAAATCACCTCCCCCCACATTGGATTGTGTCAGTATGGAGCGTGTATAAAAAAAATTCCATCCTCCTTTGAAATGGTCTTTTGTTCATTTGGTTTAGTCCAGAGTATGATACAGTCTGATAACTTTTTGCTTCTTCTACACTTAATCTGCATTCAAAGGATTACCAACTTTCTTAAAATGACTTGCTTAATTACAGTTTTATCAAAGACCATTGTCTTTTCCAATAAAAGAGAATGCTTACAGTGGGTTTTAAGTCTTGAATAAGTGGTGCTTACGCACAGCTATGCAAATGAAGCTGAGCAGCCGTTTTAGTGCAAGGTAGAGTCCATTTCTCACTGGCTTCTCATGCCTGACTCCACGTACACATAATATCTTATGCACAGGCAGCAGGTTCGCCTGCAGGCATCAAATAAATATAACTTTTAAACTATATATTTGTTCTACATGTACTTTTACACAATGTATGTATTGAATATTCAAACTTATTCTGAATGGAATCTACTTTTGGAAAAAAATAAAGTTCCTTTCCTCTTTCATTCTAATGGATTCTGTTCTTGTTTTACAGGGGATACTACACAGAAGATGAGATCTGCTCAGCATCCTACTCCAGCAGAATTGGATGCTTATGCTAAGAAAGTTGCCAACAATCCCCTGACAATAAAAATTTTTCCAAACAGCGTTAAAGTTCCCCAGCGGAAGCACATACGCCGCACCGTGAACGGACTTGATACATCAGGTCAGCGGTACAGTCCGTACCCATCACAAGTCAGCACAAAGACAGGACTCCTGGCCATTGCCAAGTCTACAGCTAAAGGTGTCTTGAAGGACTTTGACGGCACTCGTGCTCGCCTTTTGCCAGAGGCTATTATGAACCCCCCTTCTTCTCCATACGTTGCACCTAGCACTTTAAACCACCCTCAGGGGCTTTCTCGTCCCCAGCAAGCCCTGCAGCACGCTCAGGCCCTGCAACACGCTCAGAGCATGCAGCAGCAACAGCAGCAGCAGCAGACTTTGTCCCATTCTCAGAGCATGCAATCTGGCCTGCAGCTCTCACAAGGCCTGCAGCACCCTCAGACATTGCAGCACCCTCAGGGCATGCCACAGGGGATGCAGCACTCTCAGGGTCTGCAAAATACGCAGAGCATCCCCCAGCCCCCAACCTTGCAGCACCCACAGAGTGTTCAGCATACACAAGGAGTGCAGCACACACAGAGCATACCACAGCCACAGGCTCTGCATCATACGCAGGGCCTTCCACAGACAATGCCGCGCCAGCAGAGCATGTCACAGACTCTGCAGCACCAACAGAGCCTTCCACAGGCAATGCAGCACTCTCAAAGCCTGTCTCAAGCTCTGCAGCACACACAGGGATTGCAGCATCCTCAGAACATGGGGCCACAGCATTCGCAAAGCATGCCGCAACAACCGACTTTACAACATGCCCCTGGTGTGACACACCAGACTATACCACACCCCACCAATAACCTCCTGCAGTCAGGTTTACATGGAGCTAGGAAGATGCCAGACGCAGATGCCCCTCCGAATGTGACAGTGTCTACCTCAACCATCCCCCTCTCTATGGCTGCCACTTTGCAGCAGAATAGACCACCAGACCTGGGAAGCATTGTGCACCAGATCAACCAGTTCTGTCAGGCCAGGGCTGGTATAGGCACTACCTCGGTATGTGAGGGACAGATCGCCAACCCTAGCCCCATTAGTCGTAACCTGCTTATCAATGCAAGCACCAGGGTCTCAACTCACAGCATACCTATGCCTTCCTGTGTTGGATCATCTGTAGACCACGCTGCTGCTGCTATTTCCTCTGCTGCCTCTGGAAATGTCCCTATGGTTAATATGAGCAGAGTGCCTACTTCATACCCTGGTGACATGAAAGCAATGGGATGGAACCAGCATCAGTTAGCTCATCTACAGCAGATGTGTGGAGAAACTGCTGCTGCTAAACACACTCAGAGAGAGATTGCTGCCCAGGGCTTTTCAGCCAAGCCGGCATCCTACCCACAAGAACTGTGCATGGGCCAGTCTTTTGGCTTGAAGCCCCCTATTGAAAAACCCACACCTTCCCCACCTGTGAATGGATTGCCGGGTTCCTTGCCATACACAAACGGGCACTATTTCCAGCCCATGTGGAATAACATTCTGCCTACTCCAAACAGCGACAGCTCTGGATCCCAGGACCTTGCCATGCCTTTCCACGGGGGCCAGGCAGCTGGTGCACCCTTGGATTGTGCTGGAGGGACTCACTATCGAGCCATGGGGGCCGGGTCTTCCAGCCAGAGCAACATGATGCAGACGATGGATTACCTGAGTGGAGGGGAGTTCCAGCAGTCATGCTTCAGAGATCAAAGCATGGCCCCACTTGCAAAGGTTCACAGACCCCAAATGAGCAGAGCCCCTGAAACATCAGATAGTCGAAGTATTCATGTTCAGCATCCAGGGTATAGATAGGCTACAGTCACTTTTGCAACAAAGAGGGTTTTAGTCTTAAAATGATTAGCAAGGCTCTTGTATCCTCTTCAATTGGCTAACTTGTTGTGATCATTATATGCAAATGTAGCAACACAGTGCTGTAATACTTCAGAGTAGCTTAATGTAAGCTCCTTCATATTGTGTTTAATTTATATACAGTATATATTTTTTTTGTTTTCTTTAACCTTTTCAATGTCTGTAGTGGGTTGTCTGTCAATTCATTACTAGCCTCCCAACACTGAAAGGTTTCAACATGCTGCTTTTTATTATGGGAACACTAAAACCTCAAGTGGTGTTCTTTATATTTTTTTTTTTTTTTTTTTAAATCTTCTTTCTTGCTGTCCATGTAGACTGTAAGAAATAGTCTTTGTTCGCATGATCAAGAAATGTAAAATGCCTGAGAGCCAAATGGGTCCAGTATTCCTAAATCAAATGGCCTGGGTTTGTCAGCATCCTTAACATTTTGTGCTGTTCTAGCAGGTTCTTTCGGTGGGATGTGGACTTAACCCACCTTTATGTCAGTGTAGTCACACCATGTTGAATTTTGATTAACCTTTTTATTCTAAATTCCTCCCCCCCCCTTGTATATGCAGACTATCACTGGATAGAAAACTTTGAGGCACTATAGTAAGTCTGCAGACTTTTTTGCCCCGGACAAGGTTATTCATAACCCTGTGGTTTTGAGTATTTTAATTTTGTAACTAAAAGGCCAAGACCCTTAAGAATTACACTTTTTTTATTTTATTTATTTTTTTTCCCTTCTTGGTTGGCAGCTTTTTGTTTTTGTGCCTGCACGAACAAACTCATTATTTCTTAAGAAATCAAATTTTCCTTACCCCTCAGGGGTTTCGTGCACTAAAGCAGTTTGGTTACCCTACTAAAGATATTTGGCTTTTCTTTTTTCCCCCTCTGGATATCTTACTGGCCTAGCTGCTGTAGTGCCTTAAACTAAAGTTACACAGAGGGTGTGCATTTACCCTTTCTGCGAGAATTTTCTTCTTTTTTTTTTTTCTTTAGAATATTTATTTAAATAAAGCTAGCAGGTGGACAGCAGCGTGTCTTTGTTTTTAATATTTGTTCATGGGGTTAAAGGAAAGTGCATATTCTCTTAATTTATTAAGCACTACATCACATAGTTTAACATTTTTTTTAATATATATATTTTTGGGGGGAGGAGGGTGCACCAGAAAGTTACATAATCTTCAAATAGTGATCCCTAAAAATGATGAAATAACACCTTTACACAGTTTGTAGTTTGGTGTAGCTTCCCTACTCTGGCATGGTGTTTTGTTTTGTTCCTCCTTCATCCACACCCTCAGCCCTGTTGCTTGTTACCTGAAAACTACTGGTTACCAAAGGCTGAACCCCCAATCTATTTTGTTTGTTTTTTGTTTAGTATCAGAGTTTTCCTCCAGCCTGTAACAAATTTTGCATCATTCCTCTTTTACAGTTTAGAATTAAGCTGTTGAAGTGTTTTCACCTCCCTACTCCAATTTAGGGCCTGCGTGGTACATTAATGACTTCTTATAAACCACTAAATATTGTACAATGTGAAAACCTGATCTAAATGAGATCAAATAAAGGACTGCTTCATCCCAGTGTTTCCAACGCCACCTCTTAAAAAAAAAAAATAATAAAAATTTAAAATGTTCATCAAACATAGAAGGGAGGTGTTTATAGTATAATTCAGTCTCCAATAAATTATGCAACTTTATAAGGTTCACTTTGATTTTTTTTTATTTTTTATTTTTTCTGAAAAGCAACCACAGTTGACACTCAATTCTGGATTAGAATTTTTTTTTTTTGTTTTTAAATATGTAGTGTGTGTTAGTGTGTAAAGATGCTCACATTCCTGCTTTGGTACAAGCCCAGTAATTGTTGCCCAGTAAGCTTCTATAGAACCTTTGAGTTAAACTCCCAAGAGCGCCTTGTTCCCATAAAGCACTGCTTACGATATAACACCATCTTGTTTTTGTAAAAAGATTGAGTGCAACTAAAACTCCCCAAAACTGTTTTGACGGTTTGTGTATTTAAAAGAAAAAAGAAACTCTCAGCATAAACAATTGCAACATCCTCACATTGCACCTAATATGTAAATGCATTGTGTGCCGATTCAAGTCCAAAGGAGAAAAGGCTTTCCAGTAGCAATAAAAAAGTTTAAGTGTATTTTCATTTTAAAAGAAAATTACCTCTTTTTGCTTGTGGGAAAACACCTTTAAAGTGGCACTATGTAGTCCTTAGGTCCCCCCCCACCCTCATGGCCCCTCTCCCACTTACCTTTCTCCAGTGCTGGGAACTCTCCTCCTCTTGCCGACGTCCGTGTCGAATGGTCATGCGCGGCAAGAGCTGAGCGCGCATTCCAACCGCCCATAGGAAAACATTACTCAATGCTTTCCTATGGACGTTAGCGTCTTGTCACTGTGATTTTCACAATGAGAATCGTGGAAGCTGCTTCTAGTGGCTGTCAGTGAGACAGCCACTAGAGGCTGGATTAACCCTCAGTGTAAACATAACAGTTTTCAGCTGCAGGGTTAAAACTAGAGGGACCAGGCACCCAGACCACGTCATTGAGCTGAATTGGTCTGGGTGCCTATAGTGGTCCTTTAAATGTAAAAAAAAATTAACTTATAGTACACACCAAGACTACCCTGTATTGCAGTATATCCAATTCATTGTTTGTTGTGACCCTAAACAGAGTATATTTAGCACTTAAGGCCTCTTGATTATCATATACCCCAACCATATGGAATGTTATAACATGCCCATGGGTCAAAAAAATTTGTATATTCCACAGTGGCACAATTACAGAGGCTGTTCCACTTGTTCAGCTAGAAAACATTGGATCTCTCGCCAATCCGAAAAACCCTACATACTTAGGAATATGTAACTACTTCCACATTTTTGCCTACGTTTAGATCTGTTAATGTTGCTACAAACTAACCATCATTTTAGATCTAAAGTGGGGTTGGGTGGTATTCCTTAAATTTCACTTAACTCCTACCCCTAAGGAATTTGAGTCAACAATAAATACATTTTGAGAAGATGTAATCTATATTTTATGGCAATGTCAGTGTGTCAAGGAGAAAAAAAGTATCATGAAGTTTTTCTTCCTCATCTGTTCAGCAAGATGCCTGCTTAGCTTTATGGACTATGCACAAACTAAACTCTAGCCACTAAAAACGCCTTAAAATATGCAGTTCCTATTTATTTTACAAAATGTAGAGAAAAAAAATTAGATTAGGGCATGTTTAATTTCTATAGGTTCATTTTAGTCTTTTTGTAGCTTTAACAATTACAAGAAAAGAGTAATAAAGTAAACTTCACTTGTTAAATTCTTAATGATGTATGGCATGCCATTTGGTGGCCTCATTTTTGAATCGTATGTAATAAGAGATCCTACCTTGCGTCAAATGCCACATTCTAAAATATCCAAACGCTTTGGAAAAATGTAAACTTATTATTTTGAGTTGAAAACTAAACCTTTATTCAATTCAAATTCTGCATTTTAGAATGCAATGATTCATGTTGTATTGATGCAAACATTGCTAATCTCACAGTTTTAGACTTATCCTTCCATGACTGGACAAACACAAAAAAGGTTAAAAAGTTAGGTTTCCAACTGGAATCCTCTTCTGGGCCCATCTTGAAACATGCCTCTTGTAGACATTGGGGTGTATATGTTGTGCTTTCAAAAATATTCAGACCTATGGCCATTACTGGAATCAGAACAGAAAGCAGAATTAACTATATTCCGATTCTCATGCACAATCTTATTTAACAATATACACAGTTGAAAGAAAGTGCCTTAAAGTGGACACAGCTAATCTACCATTGGCTTCCCCTTTCTGAAGCATTAACACCAATGCAATATTTTCAGGATAACCCCAACTGTTCAAGGATTATTGGCCATTTGGACCTGAGGAAAGACCAATACCAAAGAGCATTCTACAGAGGTAACAGTTATGCATAGTTGAGCAAAAAAAAGTGCAAAATAATGTAAGTAGATATCACAAAACATGTTTTTAATCCATAATTGTGCTCATATGATCCAGACACTACCTTGAAAATGCTATCTTTCAATGTTCAGTGTCTGTGAGTGGAGCAATGGTGGTACAGTTGACTATACCATAAATGAGGTATACCTCTGGTCTGTGCAGAGAGCAGGGGAAGAAAGAAACCGTTACTTGAAAAGTACCATTTGATAGCCAGTCTGGCGTCTACCAGAAAAGCATTTTCTGTGCTGAGCAGTGATGTGAGAGAGGGTTTTTTTTATTTTTTTATTTAGGTGACACAATGATTTAGGAGCCTTTCCGCCAAACTCACACCAAGTAGTGTGGAATGAAGACTGCCCACACTACAAACTATGGTGAAATGTGTAATTGTGCTTTGGGTACCTCCACTGAGGTGTATAAATAGACTGAAATACAGAATATTATGCAAGAGAACTGGACGCAGTACACAAAGAGCTAGTACTGTTATTCCAAGAATAATAAAGGTGAATGTCCTACTGTGGTTTAGTGAAGTCTAGATCTCAATTTCTCCTTTGCTTATAGATCACCGTTTTTCGATAGTGCTGGAAATCCACAAAGTATTTGAGGAAATATGAGCAGGTCAAATGGACCGAATTCATCTTCCACTGGCCCAAGTTTTTATATTCACCCAAGCCGAAAAAGCTGTGACTGATTGCTCAAAAAATGTTAGTTCTTCCTATGTCTGTGATAGACGTGTTGAAATATTGAGAAAATTCTGAGCATTGATTATGACTCTGTATACTTTTGCAAAGTGTGTTTAGCAGTGATCATCTCCTGCTGTTTCCAATTGCACTCTGTAATGTATACGTAGTAAATAGACTGTTGTAGTCACTTTTCCTTGAAAACAGGAGTGCAGTATAATTTATCAAGGTGCATAAGTGTTAGACGCTGGTGCACAATAGAAAGCAAATGTTTCTGCTATAAATTCTTTTGTCGCCAACAGTCTGCCTTAAATCAGATTAAAGAAAATCTTGCTTGTGTGTAAATGAACTTTGTTTTATTTTGGAAGCATGAAGCAATTAGAATTCAGAATCAAAGTCAGATAAACCCTTCTGCTCAGTAACAGACTATTCAACATTTTTCGATTTAAAATGTAGGCAACCTCTGCAGCATGTCACTACAATGCCTAAATATGGGACCAAAGAAAAACCTTCTGTGCTGGAAGCATTTTAGAAATAAAGGAGTATGCTGAAGTACATTCTAAAAAGGTCTGAGACATTGGATTTAAAACACTACATCCCGTATGACACGTTGCCTACCTTTTTGGTGTTACAACTGCCAGATCGTCATGGGAAAAATTTTCCACAGCTGGAATGCTAATGGGTTGTTTTACCTGTATTGAGCAAGAGCAGATTTCTCCTCTATGGAACAATGTAAAGAATATGACTAATTATAAAAGTTAAAGAAAAGCTTTCTTGTGGGTGAAACAGTCATGTAATAGTAGCTGAAAATGACTTCCAATTTTTTTTTCCTACTAATATAAAACTGACTTTTTTCTAAAATTGCTAGATTGTATTGCAGTGCTGGATTTACGTCTTGATATCCCATAAGTTTAAAAAAAATAAAAATCTGTATCATATCTGTAGAATATGGGCAGACCGTGCAGCATAGTCGAAAATGGAAAAGGGTTTTGACAACCGCTCACATCCATGTAAGCAGCACCCTAAATTGGTTCTCTAGCAAATGCCTAGAATGCCACCCCGACCAAAAAAAAGTTTCGTATAATACTCTTGTTGACTGTGTTGGAGTTTCACTAAATGCCAAACCAGTCAGAAGATATACTGAGACAAAATGGGGACTACTTTATCTCACCATTTTTTTTTACGGCTGACACTTCTAGGGCAGTGCTCCCACAGTCTAGAATTGTCATTCTCCCTGTTATCACCAGACAGCTGCAGATAAAGAGTAAAGCGGATTGCCCCACCACCACAGACGATGCCACTATTGATGGTCTTTGCAAATTATGCAAAGTCCACAGACTGTGACAGTGCAATTTTAGGTAGCTTTTAAAATACCAAGTAGAATTTTAGAAATCCATTCACTACTGGAAAACTAGTGGCTTGGTGTGCATTTAATACCATGTTCTGTACAATCCTTAAAGGGACATCTCAGCAGCCATGCATTTAATTTTTTTATTTTTATTTTCCTTGCAGCTAGGCTGTCATGTAAGTTGTTTTATATATCTGGTTATACATCAGTTATGGTATCTGTTTTATAACCTGGCAAAGGCAATTTTATGCATGGCTTCCAGGGCCGTAACTCCTAGGATTACCGGACATTTAAATGCACATTGACGTGGTTTTTTGTGGCAAATGTGCCTTTAAGCATGTGGGTAAACTTGAACAGCTGCTGTACCACAATGTGTTTCTAACCAAATATGTAGGGACTACTGATATATATTGCTTTATTTAAGGGGTAACAAGTTGTCAGACACTGTTTAAATCTGTGGCCGCTTGCTCTGGTATTCTGGATGTTTCATTTTCCATAATGCTTTGCTGGTCTCATGGATAAAGTCACTTCCTAGAACTAATTAATATTGTGTTTAACAAATGTGAAACATGTTGAATACCACACCACCTGAAATTGGGTTCCACTATCTCCTCGTTTGTCATTATTACAGACTGTTATTTTCACCTACAGAGAAGAGAGAAAAATGAAACTATGTTTCAAATTTTCCTTCTCCTTTGCAATGCTTGACCGGCTGTGGCCTGGCCTGATCAGAATGTTGATTTCCTTGTCGAATATAAATGTAAAAGAGGGTCGAACATTACATGAAATAAAAGTAAACAAAGGTTATAGATTTTCAATTTTATTTATTGAATCTTGTAATTTCATGGGAAATAGTCTTTGGTGGTTTTTTTTTTTTTTTGTAATTGTAGTCCTCCCAAAAATATATTACTCTAATTACGCTTGGCAGAACATCTGGTATGTCTAGGCTAGGTTGCTGGTCTAAATGTCCTCTTTTTTTTCTTATTTTTTAATATATATATATTATCCATTCATTTATTGGATGAAGGTTACTGCTTTTCATTATAAGCTGAAATGAATGAATACAAAGTGTTTGGTAGATCCATCTTCCCAAATTTCCAAATAATCTGGCATTTTTTTTTTTATGTATCTAATACTTTTTTGGGGGTTGTAAATTTTCAGGTTGAATTCAACTCACAATGATGAATGTTACTGAAGCCAGCTTATTTGTGAATTACTTTCTCTGGCTCGTTACACAACTTTCTCGGTTATGAAAAATATGCATTTTTTAAAATTTTTATTTATTTTTAAATGACTATTGGTGTGAAGCTGTCTAGCCCTAGTTATATTAAACACTGGTCTGCTATCCTTTTTAACCTAGCTCACCACCATATTTAAATGGTGGGTGTTTATTTCGGTTAAATTTCAAACACTACTTACATTATCGTTTACATGGAAAAGCTATTTACTGAATTGTCACACAATTCCAAGCTCCTGGAAAGATAGATGAGCTTGAAGTACACTGTGAAGTGCTGCGTTGATAGAATCTGCCCCAAGGGAACCAAAGGGTTGAGTTTGAATACTAGTGGGGAAAAAAGGGGTTTAAAAAATAAATAAAAATGAAGCTGCTAGGCTTTATCAACTGTGAAAAATAGTGTGTATATGTAGGCTTTTAAAACAATGTTTTCCATATTATTCCAGTGCTTTTTCTTTTCATGGCCTACATTTTAAAATCAAAATGTCAAACCTGATTTACAAAACCTGGAAGATTTGTGTATCAAGAATAGCCAAGAGATAGAGCCTCTAGCTGTTGAACTCCCCCCTCATTTCTGATCTTTTCTTGCTGCAAGCTGCCAAAGACTTGTGGTTGATGTAGTTACAGAACATTTGGAGACCTGCTTCTTGTTTAAATGGAGTTAATTTGGGTCTTTGTTGCTTTAAAATTCAGCAAATTTTTATTTAGAATTTTTCATGTTCATGTCCTTAAAACTGTTTAGCAGTATCTATGGTGGTAACTTGTATATGAAATTCTTTAGCTTAAGGCTAGAATTTGACACTAGCCTTGACATATGTCTTGCCCAGTAGCATCACATTACATACTAGATGCTGAAACACCCTCCATTAAGGTTTCTTTGCATTGTAAATTAGACCACATGAACACAGTTTGCCAGTGCTCTGTAACGATCACACCATTCTGAGAAGAGGTTTGTGTTAGACCTGTTACTACTCAAAAAAACCACTTGAATATAATGATCACAACGAAGTTTGGAGTTGAATGTTCTAAATGAAAATGTAATACTTTCTATGTACACTGGCTAAAAGTTAATGCTATACTACTGTAACTAAGTGTAATTTCTGTACGAATGTTGCTTGTTAGTGTGGGTTGAGTAGACCTGTATGAGTGAACCCACTGCCGTCACTGGCTGCGCCCTTCAACCTTCTGAAAAGACAAAGCCTTAAGTATTTGCCTCTTCTTAAGAGTCTTTCAATGCTTTTATTTTCCTTGTTTTATATTTGCAGACCTATCATTTTTATTCAGTTGTAATCCTCTAGTTGATTCCAGTACTTGCACGCATGGTAATAGATACAAGCTACTCTCCCCTCTATGGACTATGAAAGTCTTGTATGGACCCTCACGTCAGACTTTTTGTTTTTAGAGTGTTGAAAGCAGCATCATAATCTGTCTTTTAAATTTAGGTGGAATAAGAGAAATTGCTTCAATGACCTTGTTCGAATGGAGATATTTTTTGCTGTTTTAGACACCTAACACAATGTTAGCAGCTGCTATGTTAACATTCGTAGATCATCATAGAAGCTATTATTGATCAAAATGAAGGTCTTCAGACCTACGACAGATATAGAAACCATCTAAATTCTAGCATTGCTGCTTTCTTCTCCTTTTGATTGTATTATGTCCTTTAGGCTTCCACCATGGTTGATTAGAGCTAGTTGCAAATCCAGAACCTGCCTTTTAATGTCTTGATACCTGAAGGTTCATCATAAAAATCAGCTGAGATTTGCAACTCATTTAACATTAATCATTAGTCATCACACTCTAAAAAATTAGTGATCTAAGCATAGTCACACACTTTAGCAATGAAGAGAAACTAACTATGAAGGCCAGTCCTCAAAACCACTTCAAATTAAAAATAAGATTTAAAGCTCAATTTTTTTTTTTAATTTTTGTTTTTTAGCATGTTTTAGAAAGCTTAAAACCTCCTTAAAGGAAATGTTCACAAGCTTTTGAAGTGGCGTCCCTGGTGGGTACAAAATGGGGGGAGACAAGATCTATATTAATGTGTGTCTCAAAACTGAAAATAATTGGAGGGTTATTTGTGGAGAATTGACTTTAGACTTGCAAATTGTAGGCCAAAATAGCAGAGATGTTTGGGGTTTTTTTTTTTTTTTTTGAGGGGGAGGGGGGAGTTTTGTGTCCCTTTCTCCCCACCCCCAATTTCCTCCCTTTTATTTTCTTTTAGAATCTTTTATATTTGTAATTTTCTTGACAATTCTCCACAATTCTGATAGTGAAACTCTTCATTTGTGTTTTCTAAGATTTTAATTTCCATTTTTGCTTGAGAGATTCTAGTTTCGCAAAAAGCAATGTGGTTCCCTTTATTTAATTAGCCTGTTTAAATTGTGTTTTGTGTCTGCTTCCTCTGTGTCAGCGATCTGCTCCGTCGATTGGTCTCTGTCATGGAAGAGGGTGACAGCATGTATAGCACAGTTAGAACACTTTGAACTAAAACACATGCTGGCTGGTAATGCCTTATATTTAAAGAAAACACAAGAAATGTGAACACACCTATGTTCTGCCAAATAACATCGAGATCATGTTCTAATTTATTTCCATTTTATTTCCTGTGTCATAAGTAGTCCCTATTTCTAGTGCTGGAAAACAGTTGAGACTGAGGCTTTTTCATGTCATGCAATATTTCCTGAACATGTTACCTCCTGGAAGCCACGGTTTCTTCCCACTTTCATTCCATCCTTTTGCCTGGGCCCTGACTTTTAAAGTGATATCCTGCTATGTTGGATCCTGTAAGCTGTATTTTACCATCCAAATACAATTTGCCTCCTCTAATAAAACATTGGATTCCTCGCCTCTCGTCTTGTTGGCGTGCTGCCGAGGTCAACTTGGTTTGTGGTGTGTGCATTTTATTTTGTGTTATAAATGGCTTCTCAATGAAAAATATTTCTATATTCTGATTTTAGCACATTCTTTTGTACCTGATTTTTCACTATTGTTCCCCACTGTATAGCTGTCATCTTTCGATAATCATGTATTCGGTTCACAGAAATACAGTGTTAACTAACACACCGTACACAATAATTGTGGTTCAACTCTTCATACAGGTTGGGTTTTTATTTTCCCGTAATGCAAAATTAAAAACTTTGTAGCAAAATGACAAGAATTTTTTTACTAATCATCTGGACCTATTAGTACAACTCTGTTTTTGACAGAAGAAAAAGCAATATTTAACAGGAATATTTATGAAGCCCAAAAGTAGGGTATCTCAGGCAAAACTGATTAAAGTTGTGACTTTCTTTAATAGTAATGTTTTGAATAGGTCTCTTCATTACAAAATACATTGACTTTTACTAAAGACTGCTTTCAAAATAGGGACAAAGCATTTGGTTTCTTCTAAGCTTTTATGCAGTGTGAGTGATAATACAGCAAGTACTTAAAAGGAAACTCCTGCCTGTATTGTCATCAGTGAAGGAACTAAAGCTTCAATATGTGTCTCAGGTAGGCATATGGTCCTCATGAAAACTAATACCTTGTCAAAGCATAACAATTAATGGGGTAAGGCAGGGGTAAGATTGTCCATTCACTGCTGGAAATATATCTAAAAACTTCCAATCCATTTTTCTGGCCTTTATTAAAAACTTGAAATATTTGTTTCCATAACATTTATCAGGTTTTATTTATTGTGGAGTCAGTCTGAAGCAATTTTGGGTTATCGGAGTTGGTAAAATGTACTGGCTCTATAAGCTGACTGTCCAAAACTAGAGGTCTTGTAGGTTTAATCCTCTATTCACCCGATAATGGACCCTCTCTAATGATGTGCAACTTTTGTGCCAAGGTTAGGCATGCAGCTTCATATGTTTATGCAGGCACCAGAGGTCAACAAATTGTCCTGATTTTAAATACAATTATAAATGGTTGTACTTCATGTATCCTGTTAGTTATTTTATTATACAATTAATAAGATGGTCTGAGTGCAAACGTAAACAAATTTAAATAGGCTTCATTATCCTGGAAGAGATGATGTTTGAAGGCTTTCCGTTTTGGCTCAATTATATGCTGATCAGCCACAAGATTAAAACCACTGGCCATAATATTGATTTATATTGTTACAATGACATCTGTCAAGGGATGGGCTATATTAAAAAGTCATGTGTTGTAATCCATGGAAATGGGCAAACGAAAAGATATGAGTGACTTTGACAAGGGCCAAATAGTAATGGCTAGATGATTGGGTCAGAGCATCTCCAAATTGACAAGTGTTGTGGGATTTTCCTGGTCTGCAGTGGGTAGTACCTACCAAAAGTGGTTCAAGGAAGGACAATTGGGGGGAGGAGAGAAACAATGAGGACACATTCTTCCCACATAAGGGGCTTCAGCAAGTGTTTGTAGTGTTCCTTTAAAAGAAGGTTCCAGTCCCCTAAAGCGCTTCAGCTTGCTGAGATACATTAGGAGTTAAGTGTCTCTCCCCTCTTAAATTTTATTTCTCCAGTGCTTCTTTATAAGAACCATTGGATTCGTCTGTAGATAAACCGTGTTAATGATGCTTTGGTGGTATAGAGCATTTTTGAGAAGATGGTCAATGTGCTGAATTAGGGGTGGTGTTGTTTGTTAGTTTTACAATAATTTTAACAGTTTTAAGTGTTCCTTAAAAATGACATGCATCATTTTAATGAATTTTTTTTTTTTTTTAACCAAGAAGCAAACCAATTTAAAAAAAAAACCTTTAAATTTAATGTATAAAGCAAGAAAAACAAGAGTTTACAGTTTAAAAACATTTATTGCATACTTTTCAGATTGCATTATTAGGCATATCTCTCAGCTTGGGTAGTGCCACCAGCATTCCTAGGGATAGTACAGTGTCCCATATGGAGTGGGTGTGAAAAAGCATAGCTTATAGCCACCTGCTCTTTTACTGCAGATTAAAAAACCTCAAAGTAATGTATGACCCTTAATGCTTAGAAGGGATCCTCCAATTATAATCTTGATTTTATTTACAACAATTCCAATAGAATGTAATGGTGATTTCAGATTAAATAATTTGAAAAGTTTTTCTAACTGTATATTGAAACATTTAGAAAGCTTATTAAATTGAGGCCTACATTTGTTAGACCTGTGTGGCCTTTTTGGTGGCAATACATAAATTTTTGTTTATTTTTATTTTTTTTGTTTTTTATACATGACAAATATTAAATATTTGAGTTCACTACTAGGAAATACCCTTCACCTATGAAATGGGTAGATTTCATGCTTGGTTAAAAAAAAAAAAAATAGGTTACTTACTCAATTGGTCTGCCAATTTATTGATTGATATGCATTGCTAAACACAAATACACACACCAGTCAAGCCATAAAACTTGCTAATTGCACAGAAATCTCACTTTAACAATGCTCTCACTACTGCAAGGGATTCTGGGTAGGTTATGCAAATGAGCTCAACAAAGAACCACATTTTTGCAGCTTTGAAACACAACTCAGGAAGAGGAGCAAAGCCAGTGAACCACTCATGGACAGCTGTTTCGTTACTGCAACTCATCAACATGCGGTTGGTTACTGGCTTGCTATGGAGGCTTGGCGTTACTCGTAAAGTACATACCAACAAAGTTGTATGTACCTACCCAGAATCCCTTGCAGTAGTGAGAGCACTGTTAAAGTGAGATTTCTGTGGGAAAAGCAAGTCTTATGGCTTGAGTGGTTTTTGTATTTGTGTTTAGCAATGTATTTACTATCCACTTACTTCAGGTAGAAGAGGTTTGCATCCACATTTTTTTCCCCCCACCACTTTTCGGGTGTGTCTCTCTCTCTCTCTCTCTCTCTCTCTCTCTCTCTCTCTCTCTCTCTCTCTCTCTCTCTCTCTCTCTCTCTATCTATCTATCTATCTATCTATCTATCTATCTATCTATCTATCTATCTATCTATCTATCTATCTATCTATATATATATTTGTATCTCCATATCCTCCTAGTTTGTTTTCGCATTCCCTTATTTTTGAAGAATATTTGATTTCTTGTTATGTATCCTTTCCAGAATGCAACTATGTTATATGTATGTATGGCTTCCTCGTGTTAATTGCACAGGTCAAAGCTTTATCAGTGCAAACAATGTTTCTTTTATAACCACTTCTCACGAAGTCAATTAATTTTTTTTCTACCAAAAATTGCAGACGAGAAAAAATAAAAATTGATTGCTCTTGCCCTGGTAACAGCCATTAAACCCAACACACAAATATGCAAAGCGTGAAAATGTATAAACAACCAACACATTCCAAATAAGTTTCTTGCAAAGCAATTAGGTTTTAATAAGCACACAAAGCACTTGTTCTATTTTGCAGGCTATGGTAACCAAATGATGTACAAGTTATGCAGGCATTTCGATGAAGAGTTATTCTTACAATAGCTTCTTTCTATACTATTTCTTTGATGGCTTATGTGAATTGTCCTCACCGTGGAGCTATTTTTTCCTTTTATTTTGGCTGAGCCCCATGGGAGCTGTAATCTACAAACACGTGTTATCAAAGATAGTCGTCACTGGGATACACCATTCACTCACATGGAACAAAGAAACCGTTTTAAAAATGTATTCCTCTTTGGATATAAGGAGTTAATCTTGAGTTCCCTCGCTTCACTGGTGCACTAATTTTATGAGATCATTATTGGACAGAAAGGTTAAGAGGTGCTCAAAGACACATCTGACATTTGAAGAGTATTTCTTATAAAGGAAAATAAAATAATTGGCAAGAAGTCTTTACATTGCTAAGTTCGCAACTAGGAAACAAATACTTGCATAAGTTGGCTTCTATAAAGTTTACATATATGAATTCTTTAATTATTTTTATTTTTTTTACACTAGTTATCGACAACTGTAGAACTGTTCATTATTATTGTGGATGCGTTGGTTACATTGTACCAAGAATATGAATCCTTACTTTTTATACACTTGTAGTTACTGGCATAGTTCTTTTATTTATCATGTGGTCTAATCCAACAGGTGAGCTTCTTAAAAACAAACAACAAAATCTGTGAATTCATCTTCAAAATACAATTCTAATCTTGACTGCATAGATCAATAGAGAAAATATGGTGGCACTCAATCATAAAAATCACAAGGTGCTGACTGAGTGTGGGTCCGCACACCCCACAGAACATGTATCAAAGAAAAAAAATCTTAGCCACTCACTGTGATAAGTTAATCAGCTTTAAAGGACACCCCTGACACATTGCACATCGACTAATGACAGCAAAAGAATAAGACCCTTGAACACAAAGTACACTATATGTGCTTGAGTAAACTCCCATTTCTTTATGGATGAAAAATGTAACTATTTCAGTTTTTACCACAGGGCGTTTTCCTAGGGGGCGGCAAAAAACGCTGCCTTGTTTGCCTCGTGCCCTGGAAAAGCCAAGAGCTAGCTGGCCAGCCAGCCATCTTAGGGACCTCCGAGGTGTTAAACTACTAATATTCTAGCTGGGCGGCGAGGAAACACTGTCCTCCACTCTTTTTGCTCCCTTGTGCGCCTTTCTGTGATGCTGGGAGCTGGAATATGAAGTCACTCCAGCCCTGATATCACTAAGCTGTGCGTGAGGGAGCAGAGCAGGAAAAGCTCAGTTCCCTCGTTACCTTCATTGAGGGTCAGCCCCAGCAGAGCAAGCCCAGTCAGCAGAGCCAGACCAGTTAGAAGGAGCCTGTCCAGCAGCCACTCCAGCTCTCCCAAAGGTAGGGAGGATGGGTGGATTTAATTTAAAAAAATAATGTATGAGTGAGTGTGTGTTTGTGAGTAAGTGCATGTAGCTGTTAGTGTGTCTGTGAGTAAGTGAATGTGTGTGTCAGTGTATGTGTATCTGAGAGTGTGCATGTGAAAGTGTGTGTTGGTTAAAGTGTGTGTGTGCCATTCCCCGCACCTGTTACAGTTTCCAGAGAGCCAGAAGTGTGTGAGCAAGCTGTAGTAATTATGGTGCTTGGAATATAACGTTTTCAATTTGAGTATGCCTGAGCACACCTGATGCATTCCTGTTAATATATTATTATTATTGCCATTTATATAGCGCCAACAGATTCCGTAGCGCTTTACAATATTATGAGAGGGGATTTAACTATAAATAGGACATTTACAAATAAACTTACAGGAACAATAGGTTGAAGAGGACCCTGCTCAATCGAGCTTACATTCTATAGGAGGTGGGGTGTAAAACACAGGACAGGAATTTGCAATCAAATAAGGTAGGCTGCCCTTTAGGAGAGG